GTCCGCTGTTTGTCCGTCTGTCTGACAGTGAATCTTAATTTTTAGGCCCTAGTAGGACATACTGACTCGCTTAGGCGCTTACGGCATACAATATTTTACAATATCTTTTCATGATTCTTTATGAAATGTAAAATTCTTTGTACACGCATTTACATTTTGTTTAAGTAATGGTTCGGCGATGGCAGGAGAAGAATTCAGTGGATTAGTGGTTAATATCTGAATATAAGTAAAATATTTCTCAAAAACCATTGCAACGTCCTGATCTGATTCAGTTAATTTGTTGTTAACAATTAACTTCTAGTTATAATTGCGAGAGTTGATCTTACCAGTTTCACTTTTAATTATACTCCATGTCATTCTAATTTTATTAGAAGCCGTCTTAATTTTGTTGCTCAAATGCAAAGACTTGGCTGTGGAGCACACTCTTTTAAATATTTTTGAATATTTTTTTACATATTTCCTAAATTCCACGCTTTGAGTATATGACCTTTCATGGTAAAGATCATATAACCTATGTCTGTTCTTATGGACTCGTACTGTCTTCCGTAATGACTTCCGAATGTTCAAGGAGAATGTTTTAGATGTAAAAGTATTATTAAATTCATTAAAAATAAGTTTAAATAATGTTCCATACAAAAGATTAGAATCATTTTTGTATGATAGTGATGGAAGTTTTTTCACTATGTTACTTCTAAATTTCTCCAAGCGACGTGCATTTACTGAAACAAACACAACTTTCTAATCTACTTGCTTTTTGTGAACATAAGGTAACGATACTACTTGTCCACAGTGATCAGAACTTAATTTTTGAATTATAAATTTATGCAACGACTTCACATTCGTAAAAATGTTATCTATACATGTTGCACTAGATTGAACAATACGCGTTGGCTCTAAAAATAAATTAAAAAGACAAGATTTAAACAATAATTTAAATTTAATATTGATGGAGGAAACTTCCAGGAGATTGATATTAAAGTCGCCACATATTACGACAGATTTATTCTGTTTATTAAGCTTAGCAAATATTTTTGCAAAAGTATCGTATATAGAACATGGGGGTCCGTAGACGCTCACAACAATGAGGTGCTCAAACTCAACACATGCCATTTCACTGTATGCACTCACAATATCTTTACGTTCTTTACATGATAATAATTTACTAGCTAATATTAAGGAGCCACATTTTAAAACCGTTTCTCTATTGAAAGAACTGCCCACCCAGTGATAACTGAAGTTAAAAATTAAGTTATAAGCTTTTAACCAATGTTCAGTAATACATAAATTATGAATATTGTTGCTATTTAAGAACAACTCAATTTCTAGCTCTTTGCTTTTTGTATATTTTGATGCACCAGGTGTAAAAAATTTTCATTTTCACTCTGTGGAGTCATACAATTAAAGATTTGTAAGCTACATTCTAAATTATTTAAATTATTAGGACTGCTAGAGATTACCTATATTGTCTCATTTTCTAATTTAAATTACTTGGAACTGATTCCAAATTACATATTAAAGCATTATACTGCTCAAAAGAAGCAGATGTCTGTGTAGCAAAGTCCTTGGCTGAGTTAATACATAAACAATAAGATAGCACATTTGCTATCTGCCTTAAATTATATTTAGATAGGTAATACCTATTTCCAGTCAAATTAATTAGTGCATCACTAATAAAAAAAAATAACTCATTGTTTTCGTTTTAGGTCATATAGCAAGATACAACTCCACCCCACTGTTCACGGCAAATTAAATATAAATTTGCTGGACATTGCATGAGAACATGTAACACCAAATGATCGGAAGTAGTAGAAGTCGATAAAATGCGAAGAATCATCATAGAAGATTGGCAACGTGATATCCGCTTTGATTATTTGTGTGATCAGAAATTAATAATTAATCTCGAAGATTCTTCCAGTGACTCTGATTTTAATGATGATGATTGTGACTTGGGATGTACATACTTGTGTCCATAAATATATAATTTATTTTTAATTATTTATCCATAAATTTATTGCTATTTGTTTATTTTTTATTAGCCCAAAATGAGTCTAATGCTTAAATACTTGCTTAAGTATTGGGTACATATTTTTTACCAATATTTATGAATACTTTATCGATATATCGATTTAATATGAAGCGTCAGTAGCCTAATGGCAGGACGCGGACCGCGAACTCGAAAGGTCGTGGGTTCGAATCCGCCATTCGACTACTGTCGTGAACCACTTCTAACACAAGCATTTTAAGCTTAGCAGAAGTGGTTAAAGGGAATATTAGTAATGTTTAATAACATTACTAGTATTTTATAAAAAAAAATATTCCCAGCACTAGTCACATCAGAATGACAGCTGTCATTTTAATCAATCTATATTTAAATAACTGTACCTTAATGTATGGCAGTGAAATTTAAGTGTGGAAGAAGAAGCACAGGAGTAGAATAAATGCTGTAGAAATGCGTTCAATAAGGATTATGTTAGGACTGAATCTGAATGACAGGGTGAAAAGCTGTGTGATAAGAGGAAAGTGTGATTTGCAAGATGATGTTTTAACATCAGAATTAAGAAAATAATACTTCGGTGATTTAGTCATTTAGACAGAATGAACGAGGAAAGAGTGAGAAAGCAAATTTATGACGCAATGAAAGTTTATCGACCAAATTGGCGACATATTGAAAATGGGCCAGATTAAGTGTACCCTCACTCACTGAGTGTGTTGACGATTATGATTTATGTAATATATAATGGCTTGAAACAGTACAGTATTTAATAAATGTGAGAGATACGTGCTATGCAAATGATGTAATTTTCCGAATCGCGCCGTTAAGAAGAAATATTTGAATCTACACATTATTATAACTTCAGCAACCTATTTTCTATCTATATTTCCATAATACTCTATGTGAGCAATTTCTGAAGAATGATTTTTTTAAATTTTAATTATGGTAAACTATGTTGTCAATAAAAATTGCAAAACAACAATTTGGAAATGATTTCTTTCTGTGTGTCTGCGCACCATACAAAAACATGAGAACAGATTTGTATGGCACTTTTACGTAATATTATAGACGTAGAAGTCAGATCGTTTTACCTTCACTCTCTATTATATGAGCTGAACTTTCAGCACATTGTAGTTTTATAATTCAGTGGATTCAGATAATATAATTAATAGCTTACGTTTATCCGACTACGACAACTCAAAGAGGTGGATTGTGTTTTTATTTCGTATAGATTTGTTTTTATAATTGCTGCTGATCCTTATGTTACTCACAGGCGAGGTAAATCATACATACACTAATTTAAACTCTATTAGCAGTTCTCAAAATATATTAACCGTAAAAACGTCGTGATGTAGAAATAGGATGTCAATCAAATTAAATATTAAAGATGTAATTTTTTTTCTAAACAGTGCCGCTATTTTGATTACAAAAGTTAAAAAGTTAGATTGTGTAAAAAAATATTTTTCAAGGAAAATGTATTTTACATTTACTTTTACTGATTTATTTATACCATGTTTTTCGATATTTATTGTAAAATGAAATCAATTGTAGCTTATAATTGAATTTTATAACATTAAAATACAAATCATAAATATAAAATTAGGAAATATATACGAGTACAGTGACCACCTGTTAAATAACGACGTATAGTTAACAAATTTTAAATTAATTTAAGTCATGTCAAAACAACCGGAACAGTCACTTTGATAAATTATTACGATAATCCTCATATTATGTTGTAAAAGTAGGCAAGGAATATTAAAGAACGTGTATAAATGCCTCGAAAGAACAATGACCGTCTAAGGTCGCAATTACATTACTGTATAAGATCACAGGTTTATATATTATGAAGAATCTATGATAGTACACATATTTTCTATGATCATCGTTATAGGACGATATTTAGCGAGCAAGAAACATTTAATTATCTAAATATAATGTTCGATAAAAATATTAAATATCGAAAATATAACTTTATAATATGAAACGAGTGTCTATGAATAATCTATAATAATTATTTTACTTATTAAATATACAAGTGTAAACCTCACCAATAATAAAAATTAGAGAATCAAAAAATAAACACATAAATTACCAAACATATTTTACATGCACCTATTTATATTTACATACAAAAACATATCATCGTCCTTTTTATATAAACTTAAGAAACAAATCAGAATATAATATTATATATACTTATTAATAGTAGTCATAAGCTATAAGTTTGATAAGATAATTTAAAATTACGTGGTTTTTACGTGATAGATCCATGCTGCAGCTATAGTACTGGTATAGTTGTAGAACGAATAGGTCGGCTCGACCGGGGATGGACCACGCTCTTAAATAATATCAGCGTAAAATAGCAGGCGTCAAGCCTGTGTTTTGTATGGTGAGTGTGAAGAACCGGAGACCCTCTTTACTGGAAACGAGGCATTCCATCTTAGTCCTCACGGGTGACAACGCATCTGCATTTTGATTCATAACTGTGTGCTCGTTTGTCACCCTTATCCTATAAAACAACATATTTGTCTAAGATAATGTAAACGCTGCCTAGCACATTAAAAAGTAACGATGTTCATCGCCTAGACAAATTAATGACTATGTCTCCACAATGGAAGAACTTTCATTATGAAGGAACTGTAATAACGAATACTGCTGACAAGATAAATAATGTGGTATTTATACACAATGAAATTTAAAAACCTAATTTTTTTCTGTACCTACATATTAAAAAGTTTATTCGAATTCACGTTAGGTTGGTCATTAGTTACCATTTATCGGCAACTACGATACAGTTTCATGCATCAGCTCACAGTTTAATGATGATGAATTAACTTTTTCTGGTGTCAGTGAAGTGTGTATTTAATTATACTGTTACGTAAGGAATTCAACTGTACCATAATTAATTTAGATTGAAGAAAACAACGCATTAAAATAAAAAAAAAATTATTTTATTTTCGTCTTATTAGGATAACAATAATATTTTTAGTGTTAAAAAACTTACAAAGTAAAACTTTAAATAAATAGGCAGTAAGCAAGACGGCAACTGAACAAAACTACCGAAAGTTTCATTCATTCTGAACTATCACAGCTAATAATTACAAAAAAGAATCATAAAGTCCTTACACCAACAAGTATTATACCCATACATCACATAGGAACACAATCTTTATAGAAGTTACAATATACATTTTTGAGAATCAGTAATGCGTAGGTTTTAATTCAGTGCCATCTATTCGATATTTTTGTATTCTTCTATAGACGCCATCTAGTGATAGCCGAAGTGACCAGCGCCTTCATAGTGATTGTTGTAGATCTGTGGGTGTTGAGCGTGTCCTATGCGCTTAACTACTGCGTTGAAACCGTTGTGCTTGTCAGCAGTGTACTCCACAATACGAGTGGTGCCATCTGGTTCAGCTAACGAATATGCGCCTAAAAACAAAAAATGGTATTTAAGCAATCGTGCATCAATTTTTAATGAAACTTAGATTTAAGCATAAATATTTTCGTTGTGTGATCATACAAATAGTCGTATTGCGTTTTATATTATTTTATGACCATATCATATGTATTTAAACATGTTTCATGTTTTATTTATTTAACTACAAGGTACGGTTCTTCAACCACTTGCGTATTTCATCAAATCTTTGCTCCATCTATTGGACGGTTGCCATTTACTGCGCTTGTCAATATGAGTACGAAAACCTTTCTTACTCATCAGACCAACTTAAACAATATATGTATGTAACTGGCGGTATTAGTGCTGATAGTTCAATTATCACCCAGAAAATTTATTTCAATATAAACAATCAGTTTTATTTTATAATAAAAGCCTATATGTCACATTAATAACCTAATCAAATCTACTTCTAGACATAGGTTTCTCTAATAATGCACCCGCCGGCATATATTATTTTGCTAATACACATGCCTCTGGTCAGGCGAGTTTGTTGAGCCTACACTGCTGCTACTCTTAATGCTTCTGTTAAATTGTTGTTATTTGGAAATTAAATTTGCTCAATTCCCTTACACACCCTAAATGATTCATAAAAATAATTGCGAATATAAGTAACTTACCTTTAACAACATCACCATCTCGGGACTCCCACTGAGTTTTGTGGTCACCTGTGTGAGGATCTTTTACTGAATAATCGAAAGCATACTTCGGATGGGCCTGGAACAAAAAAAATTCGTTTTATTTGACAAAGCTTTAAATCAAAGTAGAATTTTGTTGGCTTTCGTGATTGAAGAATTTTATTTATTATTTATTTGGTAATACGAGTAGACGTCAGTAATTTCTTTGATATTAAAAATACCTAAGCTTTCCTCAATGATGTTAATTATTTTATTATTCGACTTATCAAATTATGATTTAAAAGACTTCAACGCGCTCTAAAAATAAATCGCTACGATGTTAATGAGTTATTGGCAAACACTTTTAAACATTTAAGTAAGCAAACTTTGAACAAAGTAAATATGCATAACTGTATTGGAAGTTTAATTTATAAACACGTAGAAGATAGTTATGCCTGCCTAAATTTTCTGAGCAACCAAATGTTTTAAAAACAAATTACTTTTACGCAGGCGAAAAGGAAAAAAATAAAAATACATTATCTATTACCTAGACTTGGTAATAAATATATCTTTAGAGGTTGAATTATCATCATCATCATTCTCTTTTGGTAGAAAGACCTTCGGAATACACAAAATGAACAGGACTCCTCATCCTTAAAATATTTTCTGCCGGACATTGTTTCCTCATAATCTTTTGTTCAATCTAGAGCATGTGATAAAAATTCACTTAAAGATTGCAATCAATTATTACAGCGATATATAGGATCGGGGGTAGTTAGCTTCTTATTAAGTTAAATCGAGTACCCTCCCTCTGATCAACCAGAAGTACCCAAGTAAGTAAGTGAATTGAATTGCATAAATGAAAATTCCATCAAGGAATTCGTATAAACTTAACAGTTGTAAAAAAACAATCAGCAACGGTAATCAGAGTGTGTCATTATAGCCAAGGTTGTGCTTGTTGGCCTGGAGACAATTTACTTTAAGCAACCGGCAAGTATGTGAATGAAAACGTTTTTAGTGTACGCAGTCACGTAACTATAACGGAGTATTAAATTTATAATGCGTTTTCTCCTACTGCGGATGTATTTTTTGTAAGCTGTATAATATAAAAATATAAATTAATTAAAAATAAGATTCAGCATATAACTAAATAACAATTTAATAAAATATGTCAGGCGTTCCCACTAGTTCTCATTTTGATAATCAATCCATTTGTTTTTTTTTTTTCTGAATATTCTACAGTTTGCAAATGGCTTATGTTATTAATCGATAATAACTACTTTTCTATAACAATACGGTTTTAAGTATGTGAGTTATCTTGAATAAAGAATATATTAAGTCAAAATATGATTATTTTGTCGACGTTGTTGACTATAATATCCTTATTAACAACATATTAAGAAATTCTATTAATAAAATATATGTAAATAAGGTAGAGTCGTTACATAATAATCAGCGTGTCCACCATCGCCTCCCTCATATCCCGAGTATCCTGCAGCACCGTCATAGATCCCAGCGCCAGCATAGCCGATGTACCCGGCGTTAGCGGCAGCACAGGCTGCCACAAATACTAACACCTTTAAAATTAAAATAACACACTTAGTTATTTTATTTTAAAACATTTTATAACGACCTATTTAGTATACACGTCTCACTATAACATCACTATTACGAGTACATATTTAGATAAAGTTGATGTCCCATAAATATGAGTGCCTCGCATCATCAAAATATATTATTTTATCAATATTTCCGCTTAATAAAAATCCCTAGTGGCTTACGGAATAACAGCTCGCCGAAAATTTCAAAGTAAGCGAGCAATCCAGCACCCTTCAAAATTTGAAATTGCAATTTAAAGCAACGAACAATAAAAATGAAAAATACATGAACCCACTCGAAGGTGTAGTAAAACATCTAGAGAAAATCTAGCCTGCTATATAATAAATAAAATATTCGAAAGACAAAAGAACATATTATGACTAATTCACCCAAACATTCACAGAAGTGAGAACCACAGTAGCCTGTTCAAAGCAGTGCGATGTTCAAGACTGTAACTTAATTTTTTGTGATAAATTATTACAAGGTATTGTACCTTTTGCCTAGTGTATACATGCCCTTCAAGCCTGAATATAACTATGGGTGCACTGTCATTTCGCGATAGAGATAGTCAATGTAAAGTGGGTGGTACCCATCCAGAGGGACTCCGATACAGAAAAAAAAATCTGCCACGTAATCAATAAAAATAAAGTACATCAAATCGCAGTTTGTAATTTTAGTGCAATGTTAGTGCAAGCACCTAGATCGTGCTATGAGATACAGTAAGTCGATGGATGCAGTTAGATCAGGACAGTGCTTTGTGGCATTCCTTGGGGGATACCTATGTTCAGCAGTGGACTTCTGAAGAGCTGAAATAATGATGATGATGATGTTAATGATGATTTAGATAGTAAGCTAAAACTGACTATATTGTATATATTAACATTAATTACTATAAAAATACTTTTTGGTAATATCTATTTAATGCAAATCATTTCTAAATCTTGCTCAAGGAGAGGTCCATGTCCAGAAGTGGAGTTGGTGTGATGGTGTTTACTGGCTGATGAAGATGAACAATAGTTCTGTTTAAAGATTAATCGTAATCTCAATAAAATATCAAAATTAAAGCGTTAGGAAACTAGGCTCAATATATTGTAATCATTTATTAACTTAGAGAGACATAATTTATTACATTTATATAAATCAAATACTAAAAATATTCTCCATAGTATGAACTATTTACGGTTCAGTGACAGTGTAAGAATATCCACTACCCCATATCATCCCGTGTGTGTCGTAAAAACTGACAGAGAGAAACATGCCAGGAGATGGGCAGCAGCACTTTTCAAATAACAACTAGGAAATAAATAGCTCTAATAATATCACTGTAATAGAATATCCACAATATAGTTCTATCTCTAAAAATTAGTTTTATTTCACTCATTTTTGTTTTAGGGAGATGTTTTTTAGTTATATAAAGAACGTTGAAAGCAAAAATATGCGCTACGTATTTATTTATATTATGACGCACTATGTAATATTTCACTTCTATCGTATGCGTAACAGCATAGAATTGTCACACTTTGTCGTTATTGCTCAAACAACTATACCATAAGCGTTCATTTCGTCGATTGAATAACGGCTATACCTTTTCCTGTACTATTAGAGATAATAATAGCAATTTAAAATACTAAGTATATTACGGAGTTTAAAATGAGAAACTGAAGGAAAATTGCGGTTAATAAGTAATGAGCGTTAGTTGCAGAAAGCACATGAAAACCCCTCGAAAAAAATTACAATATTACAAAGAAGCACATACAAGCATAAGAAGGATATATCTTACTTGGAAAGTACGCATTGTTCTCCGATTGAAAATAAATGTTTTACTCAAATGTAACTTTCGTCCTCTTCAGCTGTGCTGACAGGAGTCGAACTAACACTGCTGCAGCCCAAATCTACAGCACACTATTTATATCAAACATTGCTAGTTACACCACCTCTTTAAGCATACGCCTGTTTGTAATCGCTTTTGCCCACCGCGGTATATGTACCTCAATGGTAGAGAGAATAGGCTTTGATGTAGTTTACCGAAATGGAATTATATTTGACAAAATTTCTTTTCATATTGTTTCATAATAATTAAAATATTACTATTATATTATTACTATTTTAATTATATATATATATTACTATTATATTATTACTATTTTAATATTTTAATTATTAATAATAAGTAATTCATACTTGCATAGTATTTCAAAAATTAATCGAGTCATTAAAATAATTATCCAAAATAATACATATATATTTTTTAACCTAATGTCTATTACATAATTACTTTGAATTTTGAAACATTTTCCCTATACAAATAACATCACCCTAATAAATTTTTAACAGAACTTGATGAAATTTTCTGAGGAAATCATGTTAGTACTTTAGATACCTTTATTTTTTAATAGGATAGGGTGACAAACGAGTACACAGTCCACCTGGTGGTAAGTGGTTGCTGTGACCCACAGACATCCACATCCATCCTCAATAATTCTTACATTACCTACCATATATATATATGAAATTTTAATATTGACCAAAAAATGCTAACCACTTCACAAAACAACATAATGAACGTGGTGGTAAAAGAAGGTACCCGTGGAAGTTATCTGTGCCCCAGGCAGCCACAACTTGTTTTTCTAGAAATAGCATGTGCGTTCGACTATTTAATTTACTTCCAAACCATATTCAAAACTTAAACTCTTTTTTTTTTTAAATATTTTCGGGACTCTGATTGAAAACTGTTTTTATGACGTAAATGAATTTATCAAATTCTGCCGTGACGGTCACCTCAAGCAAATTGTTGTTGATATTTGAAATTTTAAATTGACTGAAGAATTAGAATTTGTAAGATTGACATTATACTAGTTTGACATTATGCATTATGACATGACCTGTATATATATTTTTTTTCTCTTTTGATGTAAAATCATAAATTTATTGACATTATACTATTTAATTAAATATTGATATAAAAAGTTATTGTAATTTTGTAATTTTAATTATTCAATTGCATGTCGACGTAATATTTGCATACCGATAAATTGCTAAAACATGCATGTTCACACTTTATTATAAGACCTAAAATGTACCATGTTTTATGTAAATAAATATTTTACTATTTATTATTTATAAAGAATCAAAATGTAGGTACGTTGTCACCCGTGAGGACTAAGATGGAATGCCTCTTTTCCAGCAAAAAGGTCTCCGGTTCTCTACACTTACCATACGAAACACAGCAGTGTTAAGCTGCTATTTTACGCTCGTACTCTGTAAGAGCGTGGTCCTTACCGGTCGAGCTGACCCATTCGTGCTACAACTATACTACTAATACAGCTGCAGCATGGCTCTACCAGTTAAAAAACGTTTATACGTTTGACGTATATGTTTGATCTTACAACTTTAGGAGCTTACTTTCAAGCTGTACCCTTAAGTTTCTATAACATTTTTTTCTATTTTAAAATGATCATATACACGAAGTTTTTATTTTTCTATAATAATGCACCCTAATAAATAAACCCTTTTCGTTGAGATGATCTTGGAGATATCATTCCTTATGTCAAGCATATATTAATGAACTCTATTTAATATAATGTGTACATAATTATTTTATTCAAGCTTTTAAATTCAGTTTCTTCTAAACCACATGTTTCATTACCCAAAAAACATTGATTTTTTTATATCTCCAGTCAAACTTGGAGAGTAAGTAAAAATTTAAGAAAAGGAATTATTTCGCGAAAGTTGGAAATATATCATCATTATTATCATTAAAGCTACCTTCACAAGTTTACATTATTGACCATAAATTTCGTATTTATAACGTAACACTCAAATATTTTTGTAAACTTAATCACTAAATAAAACTAAAGTATGACTTATTTAATATTATGCCATGGGAATTATTTTAGGATTACAAAATCCGCAAAAAATTATAAATTTGAAAAACATTTAGCTTAGCATTTATACTCTTGTTTAAATATCGATCTCGTATAAACATAATAATATATCGATCTAGTTTTAGTTGTATAATGTAAATACATTTATCTATTCCTCCAGATTAACACTAGAGAGTGCAAGCTACTACTAAAACCTTACAACGTCAAAGCATTTTGTTATGAAATGGTCGTTTACTTATGCAAACTGGGAAAAGTGGATCAACTCCTTGAGATTAATATCAGTAATTAATGGACTGTTTCATTTACGCCTTTAATTACGTACAAGTTATGCGCATTGACTTTAGTTTACATGAAATTAATAAAAGCATCTTAAAAATATTCTGATCATACAAACCGTTACAGCCTTTTAAAGTCCATCGCTGAACATAGATTTAGATTGTCTCATAGGGGGATATTCTCCATAGTTGCCACACTTGGCAAGCGGGTTGGTAACCGCAGTTTTTTATTTTAGTCGTTAGTAGACACTGCTGCCCATCTCCTTATTTGTTTCTCACCGTGGCCACCCACGACACCCACGGGATGATATGAGGATATTTTTACACCGATACTACACGTTACAAACATCATACAAACAATTAATGTAAAACATTTGTGCCTAAATGCTTTTACTATACAAATAAGCACAGATAGTTTTTTTTTATAGGATAAGGGTGACAAACGAGCACACAGTCCACCTGATGGTAAGTGGTTGCTGTGGCCCATAGACATTACATCTATCTTCGATTAAGAATCAAAATGCAGATGCGTTGTCACCCGTGAGGACTAAGACGGAATGCCTCGTTTCCAGTAAAAAGGGTCTCCGGTTCTCTACACTCACCATACGAAACACAGCAGTGTTATGCTGCTATTTTACGCTGGTATTCTGTGAGAGCGTGGTCCTTCCCCGGTCAAGCCGACCCATTCGTGCTACAACTATACTATTAATATAACTGCAGCATGGCTCTTTATCGCTTTATCTATATAGTTTTATCGCTTTGAATATGAACGATTTGCGGAATAGACTTTTTAAAATTTTGCATTGACAATATGATAACAATATTTTTATTAATTTTTAATAACTAATGTTTTTAGTAATAATTAATTCCAAACATACAACAAAATTTACAAAGTTATGTGCTCGGCTGGACCTATTGATTGCTTTAATAAGATCTGACATTAGCAACACCATGATTGCAGCACTACTATTGCTTCAAAATATTTGGGACTGTAATAACGTAGAGTGCTGTAGGCCAAATCCCCTAATTATAGCGACTGTTGATAAGAACAAACAGCATACATTGCATTGCATTTGTCAAGCTTGCCTTTTTTCATGTATGGCTATAGGTATATAGTTAAAATTCTTGGAGGTGTATACAATTTAAGCTTCTAATTCAGCGCCTTCAAAAGATACACCATTAATTTGACATATTTTGATACTCGTAAACTCACTAACCCAAACCTATGTATATTATACTTACCGTTGATCTAGAGTGATGAAATTTGGGAAGAAATAAAGTCTCACAGCAATAGTAATGAAAAATATTCAACTGAAATCCGAGTTTTTGCAGTTAAATTACATAATTTCTTTTGTGATTATAACGTTACATTTGCAGTTTAAAAGTTGACCATGATGTAGACCGATTTAAGTAGAACATTTTTTCCACTTAAAAAGTTAAGGTTGTCTTTCAATCCAACTTTATCTTTCCATTTGAGATATGTTCGGTGCTTAGCCTAACTACAATTCCTAGTATAGATAAACTATCTATATACACACATCAAAAAAAGTTTGCGATCAGTTTGAATAATCAAAATCGTTTTTGTTGCGGTAGACTATATTATAATTTCTTAATCTTTTTAGATTATTTACTTAAAAATATAGAGTTAGAATGTAAAACAATAAAACAAATTCAATTGTTTTTCATATAAAAAAAAATTCAATTCAAGCTTACGCTTTTTTAAAAATCTGACTTAGTCAATTTTAACGGATTTAAAATATTTTTCGAGAAAAGTTGCGATTTAAACAAAACTATGAGGATTATCAGAAGTGTCCGATCCCGCAATGGTCGCCCAACTGTTCTGACTGCTGCTCAGAAGCGTTATATCAGATTGCTGGCAGCCCGTGACCTAACAATCAACGCCACTACAATAAAAGCAGAAGTTCGGGGCTCCTCTGGACTTGAAGTTAGCACTCAGACCATTCGGAATTGCTTAGATTAGGCTAGATTACGAACACGGAGGTCTTGGCAAGCACCTCTGAATTCACGGCAACGTCAGCGACAGAGATTACCGTGGGCTAAGCTCCGGTAAAATGAAGAAGATGAGGAGGAAAACATTTGACAAAACTGTATTTTTGTTGACGATTCGATAATCAGTACTCAAGCAGATAACCGACGTGTCCGTGTCGAAGACCTGGACTCTATAATACAAAGAACTGCCACTGAAACCATTCAGCAAGGTGGAAAATCAAAACTGATTTCCCGTCCGGAAATCAATGAGGATACCCATTTGGGGGTGGCGACCATGGTAACGGTGGGGCAGGGGGTGCTAAGAATCTCCGGTGGAGGTTAGGTTGCTATCTAAAACGACTCAACCTGGCAACATATAACGTACGAACCCTGAGGACTGACGAGAAGATGCTAGAGCTGGAAGAAGAGATAGACAAGTTATGCTGGAATATTATAGGATTATCCGAGGTCCGAAGAGAGGGGGAGGACACGGTAATCCTCGAATCCGGCAACTTGTTCTATCACCGGGAGGGCGACCATCTGTCCCAAGGTGGTGTCGGATTTATCGTCCACAAGTCTCTCGTTAACAACGTTGTAAAGATTATATACTATTACCTTATACTCAGAATCACCAAACGGTATTCGCTGAAGGTCATACAGGTTTACGCACCAACGTCGGCACACCCCGATCAGGAGGTGGAGGAAATGTATGAGGATATCTCTAGAGCCATGCATTCCTCCAAAACCCACTATACGGTGTTAATGGGAGACTTCAATGCAAAACTAGGCACAAGAGAGAACAGTGAGCTGAAAGTAGGGAAATTTGGAATAGGGCAACGGAACCCAAGGGGCCAGCAGCTGGCCGACTTCATGGAGAAAGAGGAACTCTTTATGATGAACTCTTTCTTCCAGAAGCGGCCTCACAGGAAGTGGACCTAGTCGAGCCCCGACGGTTCGACAAAAAATGAGATTGACTTCATTATGGCGACCAGACGACAACTGTTCAGTGATGTCTCCGTGATCGCGAGGGTGAAAACTGGTAGCGATCACCGAATGGTTAGAGGCACACTGAACCTAAACGTTAAGTTGGAGAGGTCTCGTCTAATGAAGTCAACGCTCCGTCCCCCTCGTGCTTTGTTCCAAAGTCCCGAAACCTTTCAGCTTGAGCTACGAAACCGTTTTCAGTGCCTAGAAGACTGCAATGAAGTGGACGATATGAATGACAAGCTCGTGGAAACTGTCCATGCGGTCGGAGCTAAGTTCTACAAGACCCGCCGCAGAAGAACACAAAAACTCTCCGATCACACTCTTAATCTCATGGCTGTTAGACGGGAGATGAAGCTACACTCTTCAACAGATTTGACAGCATACAGGCAACTGAACAGACAGATCTCCAAATGCATGTGGCGGGACTTGCGCAACTTCTATACAGCTGGTATTGAAGAAGCAATCGAGCGGAACCAAGGCTCCAAAGTCTTTGCCAGAGATCTGTCTGACAGAAAGTGGAAGTGCGGTGGTCTTGTTCTTCAAGAAAGGTGACAACGCTTTCTTGAAGAACTACAGACCGATTTCCCTTCTGAGCCGCGTCTACGTGCTGTTTTCGAGAGTCATTACGAATCGTCTCGCGCGCAGACTCGACATCTTCCAGCCTGCCTAACAAGCTGGTTTCCGAAAAGGCTTTAGCACCATATACTACATACATGCCCTTCGGCAAATTGTACAAAATTTCGAGGAGTACAATTTTCCACTATGCCTAGCGTATGTGGACTATGAGAAAGCCTTTGATTCCGTCGAAATTTGGGCGGTACTGTAGTCCCTTCAGCGGTGCCAAGTTGACTGTCGGTATATCGAAGTGCTGAAGTGTTTGTACAGTAGAGCTACGATGGCTATCCGAGTACAGAATCAGAGTACGAAACCTATCCAACTGCAGAGAAGTCAGGGTGACGTTATATCCCCGAAACTCTTCACCGCTGCATTGGAAGACGTTTTCAAGCTACTGGACTGGAAAGGATACGGTATTAACATCAATGGCGAGTACATTACTCACCTTTGATTTGCCGACGATATAGTCCTTATGGCAGAATCGCTGGAGGACCTAAGCATTATGCTCAATGACCTCAATATTGTCTCCCAACGGATAGGTCTTAAGATGAACATGGACAAAACAAAAATCATGTTTAACGTCCATGTCAAACCTATGCCAGTAGTTGTTGGGAGCACTAAGCTCGAAGTTGTTGACGAGTATGTTTACCTGGGACAAATAGTTCGACTAGGTAAGTCCAACTTCTACCGAGAGGTCAATCGACGGATTCAACTCGGCTGGGCAACGTTCGGGAAACTACGACACATATTCTCGTTAGACATACCATAACATTGTCAGACCGTTCCGAGCACTGGTCGATGATAATGCGCCTGCACAGCGAACTCAACGAGTCATGGTGCTCTCCGAGAATCACAAGGTTAGATTGGCCTGCCGGCTCGCCTGACTTAAACTCAATAGAGCACGCCTGGGGTGCACTTAGCGAGCCGTTTGGAACCGAAGCCGCCATTCAAGAATGGGACAGGTTACGGCAAGAAATGCTTGATAATTTGATCCTCAGCATGCCCAGGAGGATCTCCGCATTATCTCCGATCTCCGAGCCAGTGGACGAGTTATATTATATTAAATAAAAAGCTTCTATTAATAAATTGTTGTCAATTTTTGTTATTAAAATAAATAAAGAATTTTATTTTTTAATTTCAAACAGTGTATTTCTATTAAAAAAAAAGATATAACTGGAACACTAATTCTTCATAAAATAAAATTTAAAAAAGATGTCACCTTTTGCTAGTAATCACAAACTTCTTTGATGTGTCTACATAATTAAGTCCAGTTTTTAATTTCTTTTTTTAATGTTACTCTGACAAGTATGCTCTCCTGTATCGTGGAAGAATTATAATTGCCCATAAACAAACATACAGACCCGGAACAATTACTTGTAAGCGATACAAAGTATCGTTCCGAGCAGGATATTAACCCATAACCCTAAAGCCCCGCAGCCAAACCACTAAGCAAAAAGTATTATAATTTTTTTAATTGAATAAGCATGTGCTCGGCAGAGAAGTATTATATCATGAGAAGATTGCATGTAAGATAAGTAAAAAATACGACGGCATTCCCCATAGCGCACTGTATTAATGAGAGCCTAGACGACCGCTCGCTAGATGGAGTGATGACCTGATAAGATATGCAGGTAGTCAATGGATGCAGGTGGCTATGTTTTTCAGTGGATTTGTGAAGGGCTGTAATGATGATAATGACGAAAAGAGTATGTTACTAATGGCTAGAAGATTAAATATTGGCTCGTGGCCTACGCGCTCGCCATAAAGACAGTTCGCGAACAGAGGCGACAACGCATCTGTAACCTTCTTTAATTACAAGTTTCAGATGTCTATGTGTGCAGTAGTCACGTACACTTAAAAACACTAAAAAAACTTATGCATATTAATAAAATAATGATATTTAAAAAAAACCTCTTAAAATAAAAGTCTTACTTAATTATTTATGAAGTGTTCGATCCTGCGTTCGTTAGTTCTACTAATTATTCGTTAATATTAAAACATTTTACAAATATATTAAAACCCCTTGCTGGAGATTGCATTATTTGGAAGCTAACCCATACTCATTACGCCCATACCAACCTGCTTATTGGTGAGTGCAGAACTACTGGTAGAGCAAAAGCAGCACTGGTAGTGTTGCTCTTCATCACGTGTCTGTGTAACTTATTTATATATATGATTTAGTATTTTGAATAGACTTTTGTATTGTTGAACATTAGATTCTCAACGCTCTATCCACAGACAAAAACAGTTGCACAGAGTTTTTTTTTACTAAAAGCCAGTGTTTGATCACAATTCCACCTGACGGCATGTGGTCATAAAGTCCTAGATGGCCTGTTCCTGCCCTGAATCGCACTCTCTTAACGTAAAAAAAGCTTATTCACTCTTGCCTTGAAGACGATCAGATTGTATTCGGACGGAAAGATGAACGTCGGCAAATCACTCCACTCCTTTGCTGTATGCATTACTGAAGATGAAGCAAACCGTTAGATTCTAATGCGAGGAATATCGTCAACAAAGGGTTGAAGGTCTGATTATCCGACGGTGAAAAGGAGAGGAAGGAATTAAAACACGTATTTCCTGTGCATACTCTCCGAAATGCAGCCTATAGAATTCTGAGAGGCTGGCTACTTTACGCCTGTACTCGAGGTTGACAATATTGATTCTAACCAATTCATTCAAGTAGCACGAATGGGTCTGCTCGACCGGGGAAGGACCACGCTCTCACAGAATACCAGCGTAAAATAACAGCTTAACACTGCTGTGTTTTGTATGGTGAGTGTAGAGAATCGGAGATCCCTTTTACTGGAGAAGAGGCATTCCATCTTAGTCCTCACGGGTGACAACGCATCGGCATTATGATTCTTTATTGAGGATAGATGTAGATGTCTATGGGTCACAGCAACCACTTAGCATCAGGTGGACTGTGTGCTCGTTTGTCACCCTATCCTATAAAAAAAACGGAACCCTTCATACGCGAGTCCGACTCGCACTTAGCCGGTTATTTTCACTTCAATATTACAAAAAATGCATATGCTTTAAGTGCAAGGTTGAAAAAATGATCCATGGCGTATTTACCGCAAGAATTGAACAATAACCGAGTATTGTATTGTGGATTGAAACTAACAATTGATGAAAAACCTTTTTGGTTACCGCAATGATGTTTTACTCGGCCAAGGAAAATAATTAAATGGGTGACACGTATCTTGGCCGTCAAGGTTTTTTAGAGTCTTAAGCATGTCATAACAGTATTGAATTATAAAAAATATACAGAGGCGTTTTTAATACGCTGTTGTAGTTTTGTGATGTTAAAAGTTAAGAAATATTTTTAAATCAAGTATCTTTGCTTTTAAAATAATAAAGTTTTCTTAAATCCGACGGCCACGTAAGTCAAGCGTAATTAGTCTATTAAATATAATATGAATAAGACTATTTTTACGGATTTTGTTGCGTTTTTATTTTTGCCTTTTTTCATTTCTAACGTTTCGGGCAATTTACAGCACCGAAGTGGACTGAGTTGTTTGACGTCCTGATGTCATAGTTAACGAAGGCTATCTTCAACTATAATTATTATTTTTTTTCCGATCTGCTCAGATTGAGCTTATAGTATCTGAAAGTTTTGCTGTAGAATGCTTGGGTTTGGATTTCATTTTATTAATATGGGATTCCAAACAGATGGTAGCACCTAAATCTTCTGTATTGAAATTGGGATATTTTTTTATAATTTTAACCGATTCGTTGCGGCACCGATTTTTGACAACTTTTATCTGTGGCGGCGAACAAATATTTCATGACACGCCTGGCCACAGAAGTTGATGACACGTCTATTGTGCCATCAGCCATGTGTAAAAGCAATGTTTTTTTTTAATCCTTTTTTCACTTGTTTAGACCTAATTAAGTTTAGTTGACATCAAATATCAATTACAAACGGAAGGATACTTGTTTTAGTGGGTAACTACGTGTTTTTCTACGTGTTTTCTTTGAAATTGAGACTAAGTGGCTTTTTTATTTACAACTTGAGTTTGTGAGCGATCGCAATGAGTGCTATTATTTGTTACTTATTAGACTATTTTCCCACAACATGATTTAAAACCCACAAAGTAAAAAGTGTATGTACAAGTTAAAAAAAGGTTGTCAACCCTTAAACAATTCTAATTTTCAAAATATCTAGAAACGAAGCGATATTTTGTTCTGGATAAATTTTCCAAAAACGCAATTTGAGCGAGTAATAACGATTTTGAAAAGATACGACTCGCGTGTCATACGCCACACACATAAATAATCGATGGCACGCCTGGCACGTGTGCCATTCACACTGAACCGGAATCATCTTTGGTCAGAACCTATATTTTGCGGTCGTTTGTGTTCTATCAAATCTATACATATAAAAGTGGATGTTTTTATCTCTATGTTAATAACTATTTTTTATGGTCAGTATTTGGATGTGGTGTGGTTTTAAGCCGTGAACGGAACAAGTGTTTATAAAATAAATTTACAGCCTTTTTCTAAGCCAAATCTATTCAAGCGGCAACCTTGTACCATGCTATACTTGCATGTTTCGCGCCGTTAGGATTTCACCATATTTATTACTTTAATAAATTCCAATAATGTAGGTTAACGTATTTTCCTAAGTTAGTACCAACTATATTGTATGGCGTGGTCGTTCACTGCTGGCCGGATAAGGAAGCTCAAGGTCGCTCAGCGAGCTATGGAGAGGGCTATGCTCGGAGTTTCTCTGCGTGATAAACTCAGAAATGAGGATATCCGCAGTAGAACTAGAGTGACCGACATAGCCCAACGGATTAGTAAGCTGAAGTGGCAATGGGCCGGCCATATAGCTCGAAGAACCGACAACCGATGGGGAAGAAAGGTTCTCGAGTGGCAGCCTCGTACCGGCAGGCGAAGTGTAGGGCGTCCCCCCACTAGATGGAGTGACGACCTGGTAAGATATGCAGGAAGTCGATGGATGCAGGTGGCTCAGGACCGTGCTTTGTGGCATTCTTTGGGGGAGGCCTATGTTCAGCAGTGGACTTGTGAAGGGCTGTAATGATGATGATGATGATGATGATATTGTATTCATTTACCTTACTTTTCACTGTAACACACTTATCCACTGGATTAAGGCAAGCGAGTTGGCAACAGCAGTTTGTTTTTATTTTTAATCGTTATTAGGAAGACGCTGCTGCCCATCCCCTGATTTGTTTATCTCTGTCGCCTCTTACGACACACAATCAAATGTAAATAGATGAATATACTTCCCCTGCTGGGCATTTTTCTCATGGAATTTTCGTTCGACCACCGTGCACGTGGTAAGTCAACACCTAAAATTGCAGTTAAATATTTGATTGGTGCTGTCGAGGTTGAATCCGCGTAACGTGATATTTACGACGAGCACTTAGCCCTTGAGCAATATGACCTCCAAATATGTAACTGTTCCGGATCGGGATGTTCATACGTGTGAATTTTTTAATAAAAAATTACGCCTCCATGATACTAGGGCAAACCCTTGTATAGGGGTATTTTTTTCAGATACGTTGTCACCTCTAAGGACTTAGATGGAATGCCTTGTTTCCAGTATAAAGGTCACCAGTTCTCTACACTTACCGTGCAAAACCTCAGGTAATATTATTTCTTCGCCATAAGCGTTAGTGTTCAAACGTTTGAACGCACGATTGAATGGATTTTGACCCTTCAGTCTATCGCCACAGCCTCCTTTCTCAATAAGCAGGGAACATCATGTAGTAATAAGTAATTTAGTGAAAATATAAAAAAAAACGCTTTTAATAAATTTATTTAATTGAGGGATTAGTGCTTATATCAATTACCAATTTAGTAAGTTCAAAATCAATCAATGTGTTTGCGTCCATCAACTGAAACTGAACGTTGGTAACGTTACGTAGAATGCGTAAAGATGCTAAAATTAGCACAGTCCATTCGAAAGTAGAGCAGTAGGTGAATTCTCACGGTCACTAGATCAAGTGATAATTTCTAACCATTACTCATTAGAACTAAAGGTTTCATGACAATATGAACGTTTGAAATGAGTTCATCACAACTGATATGGATCGCCGTTATAAAAAATATGGATTAAAGCCAATAAAGTTCTGTAAAGAATTACTTATACTATCTCATTAAAAAGTGGTATCAAGTTACTGCCACTATTACAAAAATAAACAGTTACATCAGCTACTTAACCCTATACTTGGCAAGAAAAAATATTTTAGAAATTCTGAAAAAAATAATCTTAAATATGTTCTCTGGTGGTTATTGAAGGGATAAAAAATAATTAAAAAAAATATAATATAAGTAATTCAGCATTTATTGATCGTATCATATTATATACATTGCCAGGCTCTTGACAATCAACGCTATGAAATCTACGTATCTAATTTGCTACCCTGCCAGTCTTTGAGTGAAGTTAATAAATGAGTTTTACATATAATTGTAACAAAACAAAACCTTAAATGTCAACATTCTCAGTGATATAACAAAAAAAAAATAAAACATAATTATTTTGTATTTCTACATACGTATATAAATTTACATAAAAACAGCCTTTATATCTAAATGTAAATTATTGGTAAATTGAGATCAATCATAAAAATCAAGTCAAAAATATGTCGTCTTATGTAAAATTAAAAATAAAATATAAATAAATAAATAAAGTTTTATTTTTCAATATGGTATATTATGAAACAATTACGTTCCGGCAATAAGCACAACCTTAAATTACGTATTCGACAAAAAATAAATTAGTCAGTCCTTTTGTGCAATACATTAATCTTCCTCTGCTGGTTATTATAGTTTTATAATGGAGCAACTTGATCATATCGAACAGCATCTGGTGGTCTTTCAGCTGTTGGCTTCTATATAGTGTTGGTTGATTTCATGCCAGACCTGCTGATATCGCTCATATCAGTTCTTTAATAACCTTGTAAGCTTTAAAAAATTTCCATCCTAGAGTTTTTAGTGAATTTCGTTTTTTGATATCCATTCTGGCTTTTCTTTCACGGCGATATAGAAGCGAGGAATTGTTTATAAGTGTCCAATAATAAGTAAAATAAGTAAATAACAACGATGGCCTCGGAATAGCGTTCGATATAGAGCGACCAATATGTCGGCGATATCAACACCGCCCCTGTTAGTG